ATTTATAAAAAATATAATATTTAATTTATTTATTTTTTATTATATTATTTTTTCAATTATATATATATATATATTAATATTTTTTAATATTCTGTTAATATAGTTTTACTATTTTTGTAATTATTTTAAATCCTAGTTAGTCTCCTTTTCTATCTCTTGATTTTACTAAGTCTAATATTTATTATAATACTTAATTAATATATTTAATTAATGAAATATAGCTATATGAGTATACCTCTGTACGTATTAGCTTACTAGTTAGGGCTTGACAATAAATACCCAGGTGTCACACTCAGTCCTATACTATCCACCTGTTCATCCTGAATTAATCGTAAGAGATAGAGCCAGGGTACTTTATTCTATAAGGCCAAAATGTTAGAATAATTCGGGATCAACGATCCCAAACTCTGGAACTAACTTTATATACAACCCGCCATTAAATTTATAAAAAATTTTAATAATTAAAAAAACATTTTTATTTAATTAATTTAACAATAATTTATTAAAAATATAATTATAGTTATAATTATTATAATTATTAATTTTATATAAATTATAGACAAGTTTATCTTTATATATATTAATTTAGTAATTAAGATTTAATAACAAATACCTGGGTATGATAATAGACTATAGATAATAGGTATAAAAAGGTACTCCCAACCCCCGAATTTGGACCACCTTCAGAGACCTCACTTAGCCTAATATAAACCCTATGTTTACAAGAATCACAGTAAGTATTAAGGCCTAAGGATAGAGTTTGCGAGGTTTCTGCCCTGCCGAATAGTGCAATCAAGAAAGCGGTTAAACCGGGCAATAAATGGACAGTTTCAAACTTTTGGTAATCCACGTATGTACATGACTATCACCGATAGGAAATTCTATTAGCTGGCAACATGTGACTTCATGTTGCCCCAGGCCTCTGACGTCACCTATAAGCTCATGTGTTGTGACTTGTGAGTCATGTGTCCTTATTCTGACTCAAGATGAGTAATAGGCACCAGTTGACTATTCATTCCATGAACTCTGTAACTAATGTCTCTGGCTAATATTCAAAAACTCCACAGGCCTCCATACTTTATGGTATGCTGTTCTGCTATTCCCTTCCACTCTGAGTACTAGCATTTCTATTGGTTAACAATGTGTTAGACTGTACAGAGTTTATACTTAAGTAATCAAATTATGTTAACTGTCACAGGTCCCTTGCCATATTACCCGAGTTTAGTTAGCAACTCTCAACTCCAATGTTAGAAATATTGTAGAATCTGACAAAAGTCAAAGATTCTCAAAACAGTGTATAGTTGTAGCATTTACACTGGGTGTCAAGCTACCATATATACTCTGAACTAGGCATTCGTATTTGGTCTCTGACACCAGGTACTATGAATTGCCACATGAACAGTCCCATGAAGTGATATCTACAATTACTGAAAAGTAGAATCAGGAAGCTGCCAGACTAGGTGGGGTAAGTAGGCTGTTGTTGTGGTGCTTCACACTGTACACAACTATACATAATATGAGAGATTGCCATTGTTGTTAGGTCTGACCGTCAGGCAACTGCAAGCGGTGGGGCTGAAGATCGCCCATGATTCATCCACCAGAGGTAGTGTGATGCTACAGGTGATCTGACTCTTACCCACCCTTTCAGCCTAACATGCAGGAAAATACCAATTCCGAGCCGCTATTGGCGGATACACTGCTAAATCTGCCCCTCGATGGATGCCACACCGTGAGCGTACCCACACCACTGCCCCCCTTTATAGCAGAATTTCTCCCCGCTCTTCTGTGGCAGTTGTCGTCATATGGCCCTTAATACCGAAGCACTGTATATATCGGAAAACAGCAACACCTCTTCCTCAGATTCTCAAAGGGCTCTTAACACCCGGTAGATCCTGTTAACATCCTCAAGCCATCCATATATGAATATCATACCTTCCAATGCTTTCCGGCGACTCTGCAATTGGTGATGGTTCACAGAAGGAACCGTGACCTTGTGATTAGGTAGATGTTTCTACTGCCACGCGCCAACCCCGCATGTCTTATGAGCATCATGGGTACTGCGCTTAAAGCATCAGCCCCAGTCATTGGCGCATTGACTCATACGCAGTAGCAGTTCGATCTCTTCTCAGTTTCGCGCCCACCCTTCTCAGGGGCCTTAGTGTATTTCCTTTCTTCCGAATAGGGATAGACTCGCCCTGTTGATCTGTCCTTGAGTTTCTTAAATACATCACGGCATCCCCCCACCATTCTTTCCAATTGTGACCTTAAATCTGTAAGAGACATCGCCCAATATTCGTATCAAACATTGCACGCTCGGTCATAGTGAGCCTTATCGCCGAAGCGGTTTTCTATGTCATCTGCCCATTGCCACCCATAAGACAAAGAGGCGGCCCTGACAAATCACTTTCACGTGTGCCTTGCCAACATTGCCCAATCCTTATTCCATTGACTTCCATAAACATATCATCAGTGTTCGTCACATATCGCCCTCTAGGCACTATATCTTTAGCAGAAAACCAGCAGTGACTTTCCCCCTTATACTCACTCACACAATCCTCATTTTTTGTTGTTGTCTGTGTCTGCGACTGACAATCAATCCATTGGGATGACCTCATTTTCTGTTGCCTCACCTTTGGGCCGAAACAATAAGACGAACATGAATCGTTTACCATCCGTTTCCAGCCTCATGTCGCCCCCCGAGTCCAAACCTTTCGATAGTTTTAACCCTGCATTTTCACCCCATCAAGTGTCACAGGATCCCTCACTCAGCCATGACATGAAACTTCCTCCTATCTCCGTCGACCGGAAGCGAACACAATCGGAGATGGACTTACCGTCGCCACCTGTAACTCCCTACACAGGCAACAAAAAAAGGAAGTCAAATACATCAGAGCAGCTCGAGAGAGATTCAGTAGTTGGCTCTTCAAGGGATCCTGTCCTTTTCCCTCGCCACGATTCTCTTACAGAAGTTGCTACTGATGAGCCGTTGTTTGGTCCCATGCTTCCTACCGCGACGGAAGCATTGGTTGAGCAGCATATTAATTCCCACATGGCAAGGTTTGAAAATAAACTAAATAAACCGACACGCGATGAGTACCTTCTAGCTCTTTCGTGTGTGCCAATCGTTTCAGCTCAATATAATCGCAACCCAGGAGCATGGGCTAAAGAGGAGCGAGAAACGCTCGAGCGCCAACTGGTCATGATGAATCGTTGCCGTCCACACTCGTTGGAGGCGAAATTAAAGAGAATTGCTCCAGCGCCGGCCAAGAGGACAGTTCCTGCTCAGACTCGTGCGCAGCGGACTCCCAGGGCTAAGCGTACACCAAGATTCACACCAAAGCAAAAAGTTTTGGACACGTTTGACTTAACCTCACAATCCAGTAACAAGCAACCCCGAGCTATAGGCACGAACCGGGATGACACAGACTATAAGTCCATTATGGATTATTCCCCTCCTTTAGAGACTCTCGGAAACAATGCAAAGGCATTAAAAGCAGACTGGAAAGGACAAATACTGGATCTCAGCAACGATTCAGATCGACACTTGCTGAGCGCCGCCGAGCTCAATCTTGCAGCCACGTTAAGGCTTTCCTGTGCAACGTATCTATGCAGCAAGCGTCGCATATTTGAGGCTCGTGTGAGGGCTTTGAACGTCGGAAAAGAATTTCGGAAGACAGACGCTCAACAGGCCTGCAAGATTGATGTTAACAAAGCAAGCAAGCTTTGGACGGCATATGATCGAGTTGGCTGGTTCAGACCGGAGCATTTCGAACAATTTCTTAACTGACGTTACAAGATATATTACCCAAGCTTGCCATGCAAAGTTTTTGCATCCCATCATGTGAATTTTTGTTCTTTTGTTGGTTTATTAGCGAGTTGTCAGGTTCTTGCATATTATTAAAACCCCCCTGTTTTATGTCACTGGGCATGGCTGGTCTGTGTACAACGAAGTGACTCCTGCAATTTTGACCCATCTTTTTGCGGGATCTCATGTCCTTTGCCTTTGGTGTTGTAATTGGAGTATGTTTGCATTGCTCTTATGCATAGCTGTCCTTGATGCTCTTTAATAGTTTCTTTCTTCCCAAGGCACAGTATTTGGCAGTGAAACACATCCCAGACGTGTCACCATATGTTTATCATACTGTATTTACCGCGGATGGCTTGTTTCTCGTTGGGTACGATCATTTTTACCTAGAATGGCAGGTTCGGATTTGATGTTAGTGGATTTTCGACGATTGACCATTGAACGAAGATATCAGGGCCTTGGCATATCACTGCATTATTGACGTAGATGGCTGACTTTCATGCATGCCTCCCACTTCTTCGGTAGGATCTTGCTCGGAAATCATTATGTTTAGATTTCCCCTCTTCATTCTATGAGCGAATGTTGGTGGGGGAAAGGAGGGTAGAGGGTAAGAAAAGACAGATGGGACTTTCTGAACGTATAGCAAGCAATCCATTCTAGCTAGTTAAATGTTCACTGCCTCTCATGTGTGGTTACCCTGGCTTTTGGCCTCTAGATAGAGTTTTCTAGGAATAATGGTTTTCTTAATCTCTTACACACGTGACACATCCCCAAAATGGTGATTTATCACCACAATCTAAAGGCGGCTGTGTCCATAGTGAACTTAAAGCGGCAAGCGGAAGCGACGCCTGACCAACTGCTTACTCTACAGAGTACGTATGCAATCCCCGTTACTTCCGCTCCGCGCCACATGTGGTAAAGTCCGACCCAACTCGTTTCGTGCATCTGTTCCTTTACCTTTACTGTCTTCATTCTAGCATCTGATTCCACATAGTCAGGCTTCAGTCTTCCTTTGTGTTGCGCGCTTGAACCGGCGAGGAAGTCCCTAAACGATAATGTCTCATACCGAGGCTGCTCGTACAGACTCCTTGGGTGAACAGGAAACTCGGGGTGATGTAGAGACCGATAAAAAGGCCAAAAACAGACGACCTGCAAGTATGGATCTACACAGTCCTGCGAGTATTACAACATCAGTATTTTAACCAATGCTTATGCCACATCTAGATACTGCTTTTCGGCAACAGCGCCTGAAAGCCTGGCAGTGAGTTTCTCGTTCCAACGAGTTGCATAGTATTCGTGTCTCGTCTTGCTGACGCGTCGCAGGCCTATCTTAACACCAAGGAGTGTGTTACCTTTGTTTTTTGTCGTTGGTGTTATTTTTGCACCCATTGGCGGCCTTCTCTTGTGGGCAAGCTCAGAGGTAAGATCGAAATTCTCGTGATGCGCTTGCTGCTAATGACAACCGTATATCTGTGAAGGTACAAGAAATTGTGATAGATTACTCTGAGTGTGCTGATAAAGCACAACGGACCCCTGTCCCAATCCCAGACAAAGTCAAATCGTCTTTCAAATCGTCCAATCAGCAGCCTAATCCGACTTGGATGAAATACAGAGATGAAAAGACGAACGAGACCATTTGTCGCTTGAGTTTCAAGATCCCAGAGAACATCGAACCTCCTGTGTTTATGTATTATCGCCTGACAAACTTCTACCAAAACCATCGGCGATACGTGAAATCGCTAGATATAGACCAGCTTAAAGGAAAGGCAGTCGACAATAAAACTATTGATGGCGGTTCATGTGACCCACTCAAGCTTGATGACAGCGGCAAAGCATACTATCCATGTGGACTTATCGCTAACTCCATGTTCAACGATACAATAAAAAGCCCCGAGCTTTTGAACGATGGAAATGACGATGATCCTGTAGTATACGTCATGACTAATAAGGGCATCGCATGGGATAGCGATAAGGAACTTATTAAAACCACGCAGTACAAACCAGGACAGGTTGTCCCCCCTCCGAATTGGCAGGCCCGCTATCCGCATAATTACACCACAGAGATTCCCGATCTCCACGATAATGAGGAATTCATGGTTTGGATGAGAACAGCTGCATTGCCTAACTTCAGCAAACTGTCCCGGAGGAATGATACCACCGCAATGTCACCAGGCACTTACCAATTGGACATCGCAGATCGTAAGATTCATGCTTCACACAATGTCTGTTCTGCGTTAACTGTTATGCAGACTTTCCAGTTACAGAGTATGGGGGAACAAAGTCAATACTCATATCTTCCCGGACTGTAATTGGTGGGCAGAACCCTTTCATGGGTATTGCATATGTTGTTGTTGGCGGTCTATGCGTCCTTCTTGGGGCGCTTTTTACTATTGCTCATCTAGTGCGGCCCAGGTAAAGATGCTTCACCCAACCTGACTCTCATAGATCTTGATGGGACTGACAATGCATATAGGAAGCTTGGAGATCACACTTACTTGACCTGGAATAACGAGCAGGAAGGTAGCGCCATAGCAACCGGGAGAGATAATAGGTTTGGGCCGACCACCCATTAAATAATACGTGTTTTCCAACCGACCCCACCGTGCGTTATTGTACATGATTGAGTTCCATGCAATCATCTATGGTTCCTGAGAAACCATGCGTCATAGTTCGAGGCGTCTGTGGCTGGAGTTCCTTGTGGTGTCTGTTAAATTTAAGCGGCCCTCCCCTTACTTAACTGTTGGTATGACTGCTTTTGTTGCGACACTAGTGTCACCTGGAGTGGGTGTGTCATCAGAGCAAGAGGCCACCTGTTTACGAAGACTGATCTAACGACGGTTGTCGCCAGATTGTTATTTTGAGTTTCCCAGATAGGTTGTTTACACCCCTTGTTAACATTCCCGTTACGTTTTGGCATTCTTGGACTCAATTATGCTTCTCTTTCCACAGCATCCCCGGTTATATTCACCTGGTAAGCTGGCTCTGGCGAAGTTCTATGAAGCCACCAATGTTGAAAAAGCAACATGTCGCACTTTCCCACTTTACATATTTTGATCCTTGTGATAGCCAATCTACAAATTCAATGCTTCGCTTTTGTTTCGCAGAGTCGTGGCTTCTGTGCGACCAGCCCGCCCACTGAATCCCTCAAGGCAGAGTACAGGAGATTGAGCGCACTAGGTTTCCAGAATCACAACCCTGTTGATTCCGAAAGTCGGGCGGCAGTCGCCCCGATTGAGATAGATACGTGGTTTCACATCGTTACTGGTGAAGCGGAAACCGAATCGATCTCAGATGAGATGGTTGCTGATCAGGTCAGTGGTGGCAGCTTTTTTGCTCAGTGTTCCTTTTCCACCCCTCTTTTTTGCCGTTTCTTTCTTCTGTGATTATGACAAACAATCTGCTGTTTTCGATAAGTATAGTAACAGCAATCGTCTGACTTTCCCATGTGAAGCTTTCTTACCTCCAGAACGCATACCAAAATGCTACAATATCTTACCGCTTACAAGGCGTGACCCGCTCGGTAAACGATACGTGGGCTCGCAATGAGGACGAAATGGCAATGAAGACGGCCCTTCGCAGAGGGAGTTATAGGACACTTAATGTTTACTTTCACACTGATCTCCAGGGGTCTGCAAGCGCGGGTGCCAGGGCTTCTGACATCGTCCGCCGCGAAATGGGTGCCTCGCAACCACAATCTACCAGCATGCTTGGCTTTTGCACATTACCTGACCCGAGCATAAACGCTAGCAGCCCCCGATCTACTTATATTAAAGATGGCTGTAATGTACTTGCGGAAACCATGCCGGGTGGTTCTCTCGTACATTACAACAGAGGCGGTACCGCGATTCATGAAATAGGTCATTGGAATGGTCTGCTGCACATCTTCGAAGGAGAGTCATGCTCGCCCGATAACGAGGGCGATTTCATCGCAGACACGCCGCAGCAATCCAAGCCCACAGAAGGGTGTCCTGCCCAGAAAGATTCATGTCCAGAGCTCCCAGGGCTTGATGCTATCCACAATTTTATGGACTATTCCTCTGATGAGTGCTACGATTCCTTTACTCCGGATCAGGTCAGTAGGATGCGAAGCATGTGGTTTGCGATGAGAGATGGGAAGTGAAACAGAGAATACATTGTATTTCCTCATGACTTGTACCGCCTCTCAGTACTGGGATTGAAATTGCCAGTTCGCATCGTTATTCTGACTCTCCTATGTGCTGCTTGATATTGTTTTCATATGAATTGTGCCGCATGGTTGCACAGCCCAAGTGTAGGAATAGTATACATATATATTGTATACTACGCTAGGTGCAGAGTGATAAATGGAAGTCATAAGAAGCACACTCCTGCAATACATCACTCTTCTCAATTCTTTTGACGCAGTAGAGTATCCATCTAGAGCGATCAACTGGCTTTTATTCGGCAGATTATGTTATAACAGGTTGAACTCAAACTCCTGAATTTTCTACCTTTATAGTAGAGTCTATAAGCTGGGAGCTGGATTGATGCAGGATTCAAAGTGGCTGCTGTACAATGTCTCTACCGCCAAGGTGTCTTTGTACGAGACCACGAAAAATCTAGGGCAATGTGTCGGGAAGCTAAAAACGCCGATCCCCTGGATCTCGTCCACAACCAGGCGCAGGAAGATACCATGGCAATTGCTACTATACAGGTTATATACGAAGCACAGCGAATGCGCTAGGCGTTCACGACACTGTGATTGACTTGCATAAACACCCTGCTATTGCTACATGACAGGGAAAATACTTATCCCATGGTAATGTCTGAAACCTGGTAATCATCACCATAAACGTAGCGAAATTCTCAGAAAGAAAAGATAGGGGAAATAAAAGAAAAGAGAAACAGGTCCCATAAGATATACCCTATGATACAATTACCAACATTAACGTTTTCGCTTCTTACCGCGTTCCTCATCATCCAAACCACTTTCCCTATCCTTCTTCTTGGCCTTCCTTTCCAATTCGTCCCAATCCTCACCACTGTCCTCATCCGCGCTGAAGTCTTCACTTGCCTCAGCACTGGCGTCGTCATCAAATTCGCTATCATCTTCCGAGCTTTCGTCTGCCGCAGCAAGTTCTGACTCCGACAGCTCGAATGCAGATTCCTCCTCATCGGACGCCCCACCCTCGGAATCAGACTCTGCTGCAAGGAAAGACCAACCTCCATCGGCAAAGAAGCCGTATGGGTCACTTACGACCGTCTTCATGATTGTAGTCCAGTTAAGGTTTAGTGGCCCTTCCGTGAATGCAATGTCGACAGAATCGAGCCAATCCTTCACTCCTTCAAGGGACTCAACAGGAATTGTGTTAACATGAACAGGTGGTCTGTGGAAGTCTTTAAACACAAACACCAAGTCAAAGTTCTTAAGCCCAAACTACAGCCATGTTAGCAATATGAAGCGCACCTGTCCAACCAGTACATACCTGAACCCGCTCTAGATGAGCAATTTCAATCTCATTCAGGGTGATTACAAGAAAAGGGGGCTCTGTTAACTGAACCAGAGCATCCGTGGTTGGCTGAATTAAGACATTGGAGCGGTTCGGTACACCAGTGAAACCAATTTCTCTAAATGGGATGTCAACGTCCACTCCTTCGTCTTTACCCGCATCTGCTATTTTTTCAGCAAAGGCCTTAAATTCTCGATCCAAGGCTGCCCTCCGCCGTCTCTCTTCTTGTTCTGCCTCGAACTCTTCCTCGTCACCGTACCGATGTTTGCGCCTACGATTGCCAGTCTCATCAAACTGCATCTCAGTGGCCTCACGATAGAACTGCACGTCCCTCGTCTTGCGCTTGCCAATCATGATGGGTGTTTTCAGGTGAACGTGAATTAGGACAATCAACTCGTGGGCACAAGGCTGAAAAAATAGGTGTTTCACATTGCTGAAAAGCACGTCGACATGCTCGTTTCGGAAAGGTGACATATAACGAAGACCATTTTGGTGGATTTCGACCTCTCCGGGGACTCGTTTACCATCTAATGGAGGCCGAAGATAAACATCGGGCAATCTCACAGGACGGCGATCTGGAGTACTGTTAGTTCATGTTAACGTGATTAAAGGATTGTTATCAAATACTTCTGATTTCGACAAGTTTATCTTGCTCCACTACGTCTTCCATCTCTTTCTTTTCCTGTTCACGTCTCAGGGCATTTTTCCTGAGCTCTGTGATATCCTGAGCAACCTGTGCTAGTCGTTCGTTATCTTTGGACCTGAGGGTTAAATTGCGCAGAAAGTGTGCCGATATGTCTTCAAATGGTTGGTCATCCTTCCGACCAACACCCTGCCCGGGGGAAAGAAAATTGATTCGGAGATAAGCATATTCTCCTTCATCACTTTTGCTAGCATTTTTGATTGTGTTGACATGGAAAGGTACTGGTCGACCCATGATTGGAACAATTACCGTCGATGCTTTGTGATCCACATAAATGGTGAGATCCTTAACCTTAATAGGCAACTGGTTATCCCTCTTGTATGATTCAAATCGTTTGAATTTTTTCTGGGTGACTCCATTATCGTCACCAGTAGTACCAGCGAATCGATCGAGGCCTTCCTTTGTCTTTTTTGTCGCCAACTCCTTCTGGTGTTCGCGACGTCGTGCCTCTGCACCTTCATTGACCTGAGTCGGTCGCTCGGCGCGAAGCTTGGTGCGAGTAACATTTCTGCTAGCTGTTGCGCTGGACTTGACCTCCTTTTTCTCTTTGGCAGGTTTCTGGGGTTCCTCTTCATCCCCAAAGTAGAATGAAACAGAATCCATATCAATACCTGCATCCTTAGTGAATATGTGCGGACCATTTTCTCCAACACGTACAGTATCTGTAATAATCATCGAGTAGACAGAATTGTTTTTGTCTTTGGACTCCAGCTCTTCGACATCTGTTAGCCCCACCGTTATAGAAAGAGTCATGCCACTCTTCAAAATTTTGTTGTTCTTGCCATTCAAAACCATGTTAGAATCTCGGAGCTCAATTCCAATACCGGCCCCAACGCTTTTAACGAAGTGACTTTCAAGCTCAGGTTTCTTGGCTCGTACCAGCCCAATTGCTTTGTTAAATAGGTCTTTGGCCATCGTTCCGTCGCGAACGTCCTTCATCACTGCATCGTGAAGGTTCAGGAGAAAGGCATAATTAGCTTCCTGAGACTTGCTCGGATCTACCAAATAGGTGCGTGCAATTATGGAACTGTAAGTTTTGTAGCGGATTCCAAACCCAGCAACAATAATCCCTGCCTGAAGGTGACTATTATCAGACGTAGCTGTAAGTCGAAGGTCATACTTTCCGCCACTTTGAATGACAGGGCCATAGGCCCAATCAATCTGTTGAGGATCAAATTCCGTTGGGAGCTTAGCAAGTTTCTTAAAGAATTTCGCATCATCAATTTTGGCGTCGATCCGCATCGAGAGTGCCTTGTGTGTCATTTGTTTTTCTTCGTCGAGTAGGCGGGACATCTCATCAACGAAATATTCGGACATTAAACCGCTACAAGCCCTTGAGGCGTTTCGTATAGCCACCTTCAGAGTATTAGATCTCAGATCGCTCAGTGCAGTGCCAGGAAAAGAGCCTACCAACTCATCTGTATCTTTCACAGAGAAGGCGGCTGCAGAAAGAGCGGGTGAAATGTCGACTTCTTCCACATCTTGCGATATGTTTCCAAACGAACGCTTCCAATCTTCCGCGAACGGGCCAGCAGCTGTATCTCTTGGAAGTACGCCAACCCTTTTCTATTGCAGGTACTTTATTAGCACGTATTACATATATTCGAGTGTTTAGAGTGTAGGGTAACACTCACGCCGGCATTTTTTATAACTTCTAAGCATTTTTCGAACGATCTGGTTTTTTCGTTTGGATCCTTGGAGGTGATAAGTATCTCCACTGGGATCTTGCCACCTTTCAAGGGTTCAAGGTGTTTGGCTACATTTCATAGGCCGGTGTCAGTCGACAGATTTATAAAACCCGCATTAAGCAGTTCTCACCCTTTTTCGCTGTAGTCACAACGTACATCATATCTGTTGTGAAAACCATAAGCGTAGCCGGAAATTCATAGCCAAGAAGCCAGAACTAGGATTGATGGTTAACAATTTGGAGCCTGTAGAGTGGGTCGTACGTGAAAGGGGGAATGAGCCATACATGCATCGCGTTGTTTTTTTGAAAGCTATTCGCTTCATCTGTTTTCCCCATGAGAATAACGATTGATCCTACGCCGCCAAAGACAGCATGGCCAGGTCGTTTGTCTGCCTTCCATGCTGCAAAGAAGCTTGAGAGACGGTTGAAAAAAGCGCTTTTATCGATCACGATCTCTTCAGCCATGGTGTATATGATTCAGGTTCAAGTCGAAGATCTAATACCTCCTGATCTTCAACAAAAGTCTGGGTAGGGAGACGAGAGTATAAAGCACAAATAAAGTAATATATTACTGGGCATGTATCAGGTAAGCTCCCAAGTAGCCAGTATCGGCACGGCTACTTTAGGTTGGTATGTGGTTGTGGAAGCAAGCGACATAGGTAGACGCTTATCAAGAGAAGCTAGGAAGGAACGCGGGTCGAGAGCGGCAAAGCGCGTTTTGGGCAAAGCCTTCAAGTGTTTGTACTGTTTGATTCACATGCAGTGACGATATTGCAGTACTGAGTTGTTTATCACATATGGGACCTCAAGGGCGCTGAGGTATTGTCCACAGCCACTACAACTGCACTATATTGCCAAGTGAATCTCTAAAAAGTCTTTATCCATCTTATTTGCTCATGCTATCAGCACAATTCTTAGCTCATTGTTTCAGGACTTATTATTGCATTTGCTTTCATTGCTTTTAGTGTATTGATGCGGCCACCTTCCTGATGGAGCATGTCAATATTAATACTGCAAAATGGAATCCCAAAAATGCTTTACCCCTTGCGATACAATAGACCGTGGCTCTTATGCGTTCAGTTCAGATACTGAAAGCTCCTCCAACAAGAAACCACGCAATAATGCAGCTACCGGGGCATCTGCTGCTGGGGTTCGTGCTCTCAGCGCGCAGTTGGTTGCATTCTACTTCCGAGCGCCAATAAAAGCATTCTTTCGCACTCGAGTTGAGTATGAAGCCCTGGCGTTATTGCTTTCTTTTTGTCTTTATCCAAGAATTCATATTGACTTGATGATTTTGCCCTCAGTTACATGGTACTTGATACAGTCTCCAACCGTCATATATACTCATCACTAATGCTGGCCGTCTATTTATGTACTTCATAATAGGCATTTGCTAGGGCTGTCAATCCACACTCATCTGAAAGCCGATGGTCTCTCCATACTACTACCCCAGGGCTACTCGTTCATGCTGTTCGCACATATGGTTGGCGCTTTATTCCAAATCAGATCATGCCTCCCCTTTTGGCAAATGCTGGGTGGGTTTATAGGGAAACATACACCCATTATATACATCTAACTTTGCTAATAGGGTTGGTGCTGTGTTATATACATCATATCTCCAGGTTCTTGGAGCCTTGTATGAGCCAGCCTCCCGTGGGGTGAAGCGTATCTATCCACCTGCTAGTCCGTTATATACATTTACAGCTGGATTTGCGGCTGGAGCTATTCAATCGATAGTGGCTGCGCCTTTGGATGCTCTCCAGGTTCGTCTTCGGGCGAATGACATACTTGAAGGCCAGTATCGGAGCATGTGGCATTACGGCCGACATAAACTCAAACAGATCGGCATTCGTGGTATCTTTGCGGGTTGGAGCCTGTCATTCTTGCGCGACGCTTTCGGCTATGGCGTCTTTTTCTCGTTTTTCGAGTACATCAAATCGCAGGCATACTATTCATTTATCACCGGATACTATGGACCTTTGCGCATTCATTATGTGAACGAGCTGTTGTCTACTAAGTCCGGTGACCGCGATGTTCCACTCATCAAACCTCACTATACTCTAGAACCGTGCTTTTTGATGGCCGCGGGCGTTGCGGCATCCATAGCCCAACAAGCAATACAGCACCCGCTAAGCATCATACAGAACCTTCATATTGCTCGACTAGAATATTTGGATCATCAGGCAAGCCTCCATCCTTCCAGGCGACAGATGCTACGTCTTTATTATCTTGCCTATCAGGAGACATACAAACGATGCAGGAAGAGGGCCACGCGAGCTGGTGGATGGCGCCATTGGTTGTTTCGCGGATTTGTAAGAAATGCCATTCGTCAAGTGCCGAGCACTAGCGCTGGATTGGTGATATTTGAATTGGTGCGTCGTAAATATGCCAGTTTGGCGGATGCCGTGTATATTCAGGGAGATGGATATGATCTTCTCCTACCATAGGGCCTCCTTATTCCACGGATATGTCTTGGGATGAGAAGACGGATCAGATGAGGGGTTAGTAACTGAATAGTGATCGTATTAGCCCTGTGGCAGATGACGCAGCCACAGTACTGGTATAAAGACTGCGTCGTGATGTCAATTGACTGCCTAATATGAAAGCTAATGTGCTCGTCAACCCCAGCAAGAAAAGGGATTTTTACGATAGCTGGTTCTCTCTGTGCGTATATATTTCTCCTGCGAACAAAACATAGTATTCCCTAAGCCGGCACCCTGGAGGAGAAGTTAATCTACATATAGACCAGCATGAGTGTTTTATACATTATTGGAGGTTCCAGCTTCTAGACTACTTCCCCATAAAGACTCCATTCGCTATCAAGCGATTATTCCACGGAGGTGACTCCAAGCCCCGGCCCACCTCTGGCGGTTACCTAAGAGGAATAAATGTCATATGGAAGCGGCCAACCATGACTGCCACCACTCAGTAACCCCGGTAATTCAAAGACAGAATTAGCACCATGGATGGGTTCCATTGGTGCACAGGGTGGCTGCCCAGACTTACTACTAGTACTAGCACTATAGGCAGTCAATTGGAAAGTTACCCGGTCCGATAATTTATGTACGGAGTATGCAAATGCCATTAATTACAGTACCTATACCAGGTAGGTAATTAGTACCCCTCCACTGCAAAGGTACCTTCTCGAACTTCGTATAAGCCTACCCGAAAAGGTCATACCTGGTTCATTACCTCAAGAGGAGACCTATCTAGTATCTAGGATTTGGAAGCCCCAGGATAGTCTAGGCACCTGGGTCGAATGGATGGACAATTTAAGGCGCTAGGACACTAGACCAAGTGACCCATATTTCCTGGATCCACCCTTCCGCTGGTTGTACCGTTGTGGAGGTTCCCCCAGATACATCTCCAGCGGCAAAGAATAATTAACGCCATTACGTTCACTGTTCCAGCTATTCATTGTTGCCCCTAGGTATTTCAGAGCACTGTTACTTGTATGGAACCCCACACCTGGGCATGTCCTTTAAAACACATAAACTTCCATCCAGTGATCAGCTGTACGTATTCTTGATTGCAAGTCATCACCTGCTAACGTAAATATGCTCTTTGCCCAACCTGTTAGCCTTATTTGATTACCTTTCCTTACTTCCACCTGACCGTCTCTTTTCGGCTGAACAGCATCGATTTTCGTCATTTTGCATCGTTGGTCAACTGCCCGTCTCGTGGACAGAATCATCACTACCGCTTTCTACTCTCGTTGACTCGTCTATTGGTTACCGGGCCTTTGCCTCAGCTTGTTTTCCGTCACCCTATTACAGTGTCGTTCTTCTGATTCATCCCTTCGAACGGGTCTCATCGGGGTTGGTCTGTTAGTTCGTATGCCCCTTGATGAAATTTCCTTAGTCCATTTCTCTGTGGAGGAATACGGGGTGTCTCTACTCGCATCAATTGTCGATCCACCCCAACTCAAACATATTACCTACTCACCTTTCACCGCAAGAAGGGCTGATAATTGCAGCCCATCACGACCGTCAACATTACTTCGACATCTTCGCCGTATACTTCCTCGAGTATACCCTTGCGGTCTCTACAATACCGGTCTCAGTCATCTCCTGTGCAGTCTGTGAGAGCACACGAATCTGCTAGCGAGAAGGGTAGCCGGCGTTCTTCTTTATCTGTACAGTCTGTCGAGTCTGAGTATTCTCTCTGGACAGACACTGGCGACCTAGCTGAACAGCTCGCTAATGAAGAAGATCCTCTCCGGACCCGTCTCGGAGAATCTCTGGACCGTGAGATCTCTAGTCGATTGGGGTCAAGGGCGCGAGTGAAACAGCTGAAACGAGTACATTACCCTAACGAAGGCAATCTTGTCACTGAGCAAGCCGAACCCGAGAAGACGTCAATAGAGATACCTCGTCCGCCGCCCCGGCATATTTCGCGGGTTGAACGTCTCCTCGCTGTCATAATGTCTCCAGGCAATCGGCAGACGGCACAAATGCATGGCTTGGTTGGGAAGCCACTGCTGTAAGCGAATCTTATATTCATACACTTGTCTTTGGTGTCTATATTGTTCTCGCTAACTTCACAAAGGTACTTTACTAGTGTCTTTGTATCTTTAGGCGTCTTTCTTTTTGGCTATGACCAAGGTGTCATGTCTGGTATTATAACGTTCGTCTCCTGTCCTAAAAGAAGGTCCCAGGGTGTTCTCAAATTAATAACAAGGCAGTGGTTGGTATTTTAAGGACTATTTCAACCAACCGTCACGCGCTGCAATTGGTACGGTTGTTGCAATTCTTGAGGTTGGAGCCTTTATATCCTCGTTACTTGTTGGACGTATTGGCGACTTGATAGGGCGTCGCCGAACGATTCTTTACGGCTCAATAGTCTTTTTCATAGGCGGAGCACTGCAGACATTTGCAAATGGACTCGCCATGATGATGGTTGGTCGTATCGTCGCTGGTTTAGGAGTTGGCGCGTTGTCAACGATCGTGCCTGTTTATCAGTCTGAGATATCGGTAAATTATATACCCCCAACCTTGACCGAAATTTAGTCTCCCCCCGTTTATCTTCACCACTGCTAACAGCTAGCCTTAAGCCCCCCCACAACCGAGGGAAGCTGGCGTGTATTGAATTCACCGGAAATATTTCAGGATATGCAGCCAGTGTATGGGTTGATTACTTCTGTAGCTTCATCGACAACAACTATTCGTGGCGTCTACCGTTACTATGCCAGTGTATAATGGGGGCTCTTCTTGGACTAGGAAGCCTCATTATATGTGAATCACCAAGGTCTGCTAAAGTATGCTTATGCTTACAACCAGAACGTGTGCTAATATTTCGCCCTATCAGATGGCTGTTGGATAATGACTATGATGAGGAAGGCATGGTAGTCATTGCTAATCTCTACGGACAGGGAGACTTGCACAATGACAAAGCAAGACAGGAATACAGAGAAATCAAGATGGATGTTCTTCTTCAACGGCAAGAAGGTGAAAGGTCTTACACTGACATGTTCAAGCGATACAAGAAACGGGTCTTGATAGCCATGTCCGCTCAGGCTTTAGCCCAACTGAATGGTATTAACGTCATCTCCTATTATGCCCCGCTCGTTTTCGAATCAGCAGGGTGGGCGGGCCGCGATGCTATTTTAATGACTGGCATCAATGCAATTTCATACCTCGCATCCACGGTTCCTCCATGGTACCTTGTTGACCGCTGGGGTAGGCGACCAATCCTACTTTCGGGAGCTGTCGCTATGATTGTCTCTCTCTCTTTGATATCATACTTTATTTTTATTGATGTTGCAGCAACTCCCACGCTCACTGTGATCCTCGTTATGATCTACAATGCTGCTTTTGGCGCATCCTGGGGACCTATCCCATGGCTATACCCGCCTGAGATCTTGCCATTAAGCATTCGTGCAAAAGGCGCCAGTCTTAGCACAGCTACGAACTGGGCTTTCAATTGGCTTGTTGGAGAGCTCACACCTATCCTTCAGGCCGTAATAAAATGGCGCCTCTACCTAGTGCACGCCTTTTTCTGTGCGTGTAGCTTCGTCCTCGGTTAGTATCATTCTCTTCAGCAAGTTAATATATCCTGACGTGTGCTTTGGTTAGTTTACTTCCTATATCCGGAGACTAGTGGCGTTCGTCTTGAGGATATGGATACTCTGTTTGGGGACGCAACTACCGCCATGCCAACACCCGCCTCTCAAGGAGAACGTGGCTCTCTAATGGGTGTTAGTTCGCCTGTGCCTTCACTTGACATACGGCGGCAATATGGCCAGTTTGGCCCTGAAAATGCCATTCCTGGTCTAGATATTGATCCTCCGATCATCAATGCTGGCGAGAATGCTAAAGTCGGTCAGCGTGGTTCTCAAGATGGCGGTGGCCGCCTTGAGGGCCTTGGCGGTTGGATCTCGAACATGGTCTCTCGCCACAAGGGGTCATCTGGACAACGGCTCCAAGGCACTCAGTATAGACGCCTTGGGCAAGATGACGAGAACGAGTAATGGGACGGTAGGGCATCATCAGCTCGCAATGAGGTCCCTATACATCTTCCATTGATATCACATTTCCTTTTTTTTTTCAATTCTTTTTCCTTTACTTCTTACGAAGGGTCTGGGATGGAGTTTTTTACATGTCGCACGTGCCCGTTTCTTGGCCTTTGCTTCGTGTCCATATCCTTGACCGCATATCACACTCTGTCTCCTAGTACACGTACGCCTACCGTTGTCTTACCACATTGCTGCGTAGAATAACGGTGCATCTGTCTTGACACGGCCTTTTGTGGGATAGTATAGAGTTATCAGGTATTACCCATGCCGAGATATTAATTCGGACTTGAAATCTCAATGGACATGAGCTAATCACTGTGCACTGGGATGAAAGAGATCGCAACATTTTGTCCTAGATGTTCACAACCTTGAAGATAGCGCTCAAGATAATAGGGATTACTGAGAGCTGTGTTCTTCAATTAACTCCATCAGTCTCTTTGGGGGTGAACGTTCGGATTATGGCGGAGTGACTTTAGTGGGAGTAGGCTGTTACTGTGTGGTAATATGTGTATATAAAAGAAAATTTAGTCGTTTGCCGATCTTGCAAAGGTGTGTAAAATAGGCGTCGGCGGTCACATAGGACTCAAAAAGATTATCAGAGCTACCTCAGCGAGCCCAGGCGCTCTGCTTAGTTAATGCAAGCGGGAGGTTCATACAAAATAGCATATTTTTACAATATGCATATCTCAGCCACTTTATAGTAGATCTGTTTATAACTTTAATAAGTAATGATAGATATATATTTCAAATATAACTTATATATCAGTGAGAAAAAGTACTAAATATATATATTACAGCTATGTATAGATAATGTTATTAAACATTAGTTAGAACCTCTATCGGCTACTACTACTATCTACGGTAGGTAGTAGTCCATAGGTACTTGTACTAAGTAGTTCTGTCCATAAATGGACCCACAACAAGCGACTTTTCTCGAGATGCCTGCGCTATGATTGGTCCATATAGACCAAGGTTTTGCATAATGTAGAGCTAGTCCTAATGCGGACTTTTTCCCTGGAGGATCTGCTGGGATAACATCACAGCATTGATGACGGTGGAGGCTTTCAAACCACTGCAGGAGGAATTTATTCAAGACTGGTAAAAATGACAAGTTGATCGAACGGCACAAAGCAAGCCTGACCAAGCTGGCGACTCTACGCCTCATGACTCAATCCCCAGTTGCTATCCTCTCCCAACCCATAAGAGATGTTTTCCAGGGTACAGCAGTGTTGATTTATGATATGAATTTCTTCCTGTCGCCAGGCATGGGAGGTAGTCTATCTCTACTTCATGCTGGGTACTCCAGAACCATACAATATGCAGAAGAAAGATAAGGAGGTGCGGGAAGGAGGCGTGATGGAGGCTAAGTTATGTTGATTCAAGCGTACCGACTCGCGTACTGAGTTGACAGTACAGAGTATTTAAAGATCAGAGCTGACTGAGGTTTCTGAACTAACCCATTTGTGATCTAGTGGCGTAGAGCAACGTCAATCAAGCCAATAAGAGATGGATTTTGATAGCATTGATCTTGGTACCTCCTAGTACCTTATTACTGTAGTATCTTCACAGTGTGTTCAAGTACTTATTCATTTATGAATAACTTTTATTGTAGGTAGAATTATGTTACTACCTGAGCAGTTTGTTTAGATGTTTAGAGTGACAGTTGTTTGGCCACAGGGAAACTTCTAATAGGCATTATGCAAAATACCACACTGAACTAGTAATGTTCTAGACCTCCATGGGTCTTGCGTGTCTACACCGTGGACCAACACTGCTAGAGTACACCGCACTTAGAACAGTACATAACTAGTAACGTGGTATGGAATATCGTCTACTCCCTTTGTATTTATATCTTCCAGGCAGCACGACAATCACTGTAAATATTCGCCTGAGATGAGCCTTGCAAGATAGACTCTGTAAGTGTGACATGGCCCTAAGGACAGATGATTTCCATTTGAAAGAATGTACTGCTATAATGCTACATATCATCTGGTTTTAGCTTGCAGAGTTCTTCCAACACCTCTCTTTTACACTGGAGAGATTTGTGATCGATATTATTAGTACAGAACCGATGGCCGGAATTAAATGTGGCCTAAGCGGGGCCGCAGCTTAGGACGACCGCGCCGGTTTTTCCGTGTTATGTCCAGGCCAACTCTCCATTTGCTTCCACTACCTACACCACTGCTCCTGCATTTGAAAAGTGTTGTCGTCTTTCATTTCCAATGCCTTCCCTGTCCCCCCTAATCATTTGACTGTTCTTGTGGCTTCTTCTTCTATTCTCTACATTCGATCCTTTATTTTCCTCCACTTTGCTCAATTCGCCGAAATTGATTCACTTGTCCACGAGAACTGTAGACACGACCTCCCATTATCTCGCATTCACGGAGTTAACTCCATGTTATGGTATCGGATATGAGACTGTCTTATTGTTGAACCCAATTACCCTTTCTTGTTCAGTATTTCCTTTCGTTACACCACTTTTTCTTTTCTTTTCTTTTCTTTTCCCTTTTTTATTGCTACGTCGTGGCCAATACTTCGATCCTTCTCACCGGATATACGCCGTTTCCTCCCCTCATTACTAAACCGGAAACTCACAGGGAGGGGTCCTCCACTATAGCGGAAATGGACTCTGCATCAAGTACCGGTGTGAATTTAGCCTCTGATATACGGCGCCGAAATGTCCCGCATACTGAGGGGCCTAGAAAGAAACCCGATGGCACGGAGGAGAGCAAGCCTAAAGTATGTTTCCCTTCAATTCTAGCGCCCTGAAAATACAGTGCTCAAGGACTAACGCTAGTCGGATTGGCCTGTAGTCCAATTCACCAGTTTCCATCCTAGATAATTGGGAACCCCTGATAATGCCCATTCTGTTGACGGCTGTAGCTATCTTCACTCGCATGTACCGGATTGGTCGCTCGAATATCGTGACTTGGGATGAAGCGCAGTAAGAGAAACATAAACCCTAATGAGTCGTATTGTGTTGGCCCAGTTTCTTACCCTAGGTTTAGCTTTGGCAAGTTTGGGTCACATTACTTGAAACGTGAGTTCTACTTCGACGTACACCCGCCGCTGGGGAAAATGCTTGTCGGCTTGTCGGGTTATCTTGCCGGTTACAATGGGTCGTTCGAGTTCAAATCCGGTGATAAATATCCGGAAGAAGTCAATTATACTTTTATGCGCGTCTTTAACGCTGCATTCGGCGTCGCGTGCGTGCCACTTGCTTATTATACAGCACGAGAACTTGGCTTTCGCAGAGCTACTATCTGGCTCGTGAGTTTGATGGTGCTCCTTGATAACTCATACGCAACCATCTCAAGGTTTATATTACTGGATTCCATGCTGCTCTGTTTCACGTTCACTACCACCTTCTGCTGGGCAAAGTTTCACCGACTACAACATGCGAGTTTCTCTATTGAGTGGTTTGCCTGGCTATTCCTGACCGGGATAAGCATTGGCTGTGTGTGCAGTGTGAAGTGGGTAGGCTTCTTTTGCACAGCGCTTGTAGGCCTCTATACGATCGAGGATCTATGGAACAAATTTGGCGATCTAAAGATGTCAGAGGTCAGTTATGGAAGGAATCAGTAGCTCGAATGTTTTGCTAAGCCCACTCCCAGGTCGTCCTTGCCAAGCATCTCATGGCTCGTGTGGTGGGGCTGATCATTATACCCGTTTTGGTTTATGTATTTTCATTCTACCTGCATTTCTTGGTTCTGGAAAATAGTGGACCGGGCGACGCCCAAATGAGTTCACTTTTCCAGGCTAATCTGAGAGGAACTGAGGTCGGGAAAGATAGCCCCCTGGAAATTGCTCTTGGTTCTAGAGTCACACTGAAGAACATGGGTTACGGCGGTGGGCTTCTCCATTCGCATATCCAGACATACCCTGAGGGGTCCACCCAGCAACAGGTTACCTGCTATCACCATAAGGACGCCAACAACGACTGGTTCATCTACCCAAGCCGCCGCGAGCCAGAGTATGATCCGAGTGCGCCTCTAAAGTTTGTAGGTGATGGTGATGTCATTCGTCTTATTCATGGACAGACAGGCCGAAATTTGCACTCTCATGTTATTTCTGCACCCATTACCAAGTCACACTACGAAGTCTCATGCTATGGCAATATCACTATCGGTGATGATAAAGATCATTGGTTGGTTGAGGTTGTTGATGATGTTGCATCGAAGGATAGAAGTAAAATCAGGACTCTTACCACTGCTTTTCGCTTGCGACATCCTGTCCTGGGTTGTTATTTACGAGCAGGCAACGTTAATCTCCCCCAATGGGGCTTCAAACAGATTGAAACCACATGCGTGAAGGAGAACAAACCGAGCGATGTTTACACACACTGGAATGTCGAGTCTCATGCTAACGATCGGCGTAAGTTTCAATTTTTGAGCCCCATGCATTTACAGAGGAAAGGATATTAACCATCCATTATACAGTTCCACCGGGTGATCCGGGATCCTATAAGTCGCCTTTCATGAAAGACTTCATCCATTTGAATGTTGCCATGATGACATCCAATAATGCGTTGGTTCCCGACCCAGATAAGCAAGATGATCTCGCCTCAAAATTTTGGCAGTGGCCTATACTTAATGTTGGGCTCCGGATGTGCTCCTGGGACGACAATACGATCAAATACTATCTCCTTGGCAACCCATTCGTTTACTGGGGAAGTACAATTAGCCTTGGAGTCTTTGGGCTCTTGGTATTATGGTATCTCGTGCGCTGGCAGCGAGGCTACAATGAGCTTTCCCAGGCAGATATTAACCATATCCATTATTCTGGCTTGTACCCAGTCATTGGATGGATTCTGCATTATCTGCCTTTTATTGTCATGGGAAGAGTGACGTATGTTCATCATTACTACCCAGCACTGTACTACGCCATTCTTACCTTTGGCTTCTGTGTTGACTGGCTCACGCAAACAATGAATGCTAAATCCAGCTGGATGATCTATTCTTTACTTTATGCTATCATAGTTGGAATGTTTGTGCACTTCCGCGTGATTGTGTTTGGCATTGAAGGTTCAAGTCAACAGTGGGGTCATTTGGACTGGCTGAGCGGCTGGCGCATCGCCAATTAAAACACCTTGCCTCTTCTGTCATTCCCTCCTGCTGTCTACTTTTCTTTCCTCTTTTGTCTCCCTATACTTTGTTTTACCTTCCTTCTTTATTATCGCCCTACCGCTGCTTTCAGTCCCCCTTGATTCCATTGTATTGCTATTAAATTACTAGGTACCTTTACTATGGTTTATGTAGCACATCATCGGCCATGTCGGCGATATCAATGAAGTTTTTAATTTACCATGTCAAATGCGGAAGGATTATTAATCTCTATCAGTAGTTTTTAGGATGTTTTAAACTCTCCTAATGCCTAGCTCAGGCATTGAGGATTATATCTTAAAAAGGGTAACCTAGTGGACTTCTCGCTGATATCAGGCAGCATTGTACAATCATGATTATCGCAGTCGTGGGCGCACTCCGAGATATATTCAACAACAGTTTCCGGCCCATGCATTTCCGCCCCTGCGCATCGCATCGTTCAAGCCTAGAGTGACAGTTGTCGGGACACTAGTGTGACCCCCGCCGGTAGCGCCGAAGCCCTTCACTCCGCTTCTGCGGTCATTCAAATCGTACCTGCCCGCCTCGATATTTCGATAGATTCTCTCGGCGACCTCAAGAAACGCACGCTCGACGCCATCACCAGACTTTGCACTGGTCTCAACGTAGCGTACGACGTTGTTCATGCGGCACCACTCTTCCGCCTCTCGCCTCGTAACATGCCTCTGATTCCGTTCCGAATCATCACCGGCCAAATCGCTTTTGTTACCGACCAGGATGACTACAATTCCTTCTTCCGCAATTTGTCGCAAATCCTGCAACCACTGTGTGCATGAAGTAAACGTAGATGGTCTCGTTATATCGAACACAAGCAGAGCACCAGAGGCACCACGAAAATAAGACCGCGTGATCGATTTGTACGTTTCCTGACCTGCTGTATCCCAAAGTGATAGCTTCATCTTTTTCTGAGACTCAGCTATTTTTCGTGGGGGAGTAGGTAAACCGGAGACGATGGGCTCCTCTGCGGCATCTAGAGCTACTGGCGACGAAAAGGAACGGTTGCGAGGCTTGGTGTCTGATTCTATATTTAGGGCCTTTGAAGCAGGTGGTCCAACTGGAACAATACGCGAACCAAACTCCACACCAATGGTCACATCGTGGGAAGATGAAAAGCGTCCTTCGCAAAGCCGAATAGTCAACTACAGCAAGGATCAGCATGATCGAGCTCCGGCATTCAAAGGGCGATCAGACACTTACGCTAGACTTTCCAGTCCCAGAGTCACCAATACAGACAAGCTTAGCGATGTAATCCCATGGCTGTGACATGGATACAGCGGACTCTAGTTTTGAAGATAGTTGTTTCCTGATTAACTAATATCCGCCAGCTCAGATGCCTGAGACTCATGCTCCGAAAACCGTTGCTAAAACTACCGAGACAGGGTTTAAAAGAAGTACACCGTTGAAGTGGCACTAGAGACTTTAAAGGAAATCGTCCTAGCCCTATATGGGTCATATGAGAATTGCCTGAGGCGCTCTTTAACACACACAAGTGGAAGCGGGCTTTTCAGAGCTTTCCTCTCCTGATAGGTCTGGTATGGGGCGGCAGCCTTCGTCGTACACGTGATTAGACGGACACAACAATCCCCTTTACCGAACTCCACGCTAAGTCATTTAACTGCTGACTCTTGCTCTTCTTAGGCATAACATCCGACTTCTGATCATGACTCGAACAAACTGATTTGATAGTGTGGTCTTTTCTATTTCTTTTTTTTTTCTTCCAAAACTGGTCATTTTAATACAATATAATCAGAAAACAATGAGCTGCCATGATACTTTGTTACGATCCATATAGAACCTTGCCATGTGATAATTAATAAATGGGTGACCAACACAGCCTTGCGAGATGAATATATATGATCTGCCAAGCACTGTGGATCACCTGTGTGGGTCATCTCATTGTACTTAGTAGACTAGTACATAGTAGATCCGTGAACGGAGTATCTGGAGTAGATACTACTATCTAGAGCTTCCGGAACAAAACCAGATATACTCCGGAGTACAGTTAGTTTAAAGGTTCTTTCCGGAACCCATGGCGTTAGATTCCTGAAGTGGAGACACTCCCGAAAGCTGAGTCATCTATCACCATGACCTTGCCTTATGACGCTTGCACCTTCTTCCTAGTAGGTACTACTGATTCACTTTATGCCTTACAAAGGCTTCCATTTCCCCCTTCCATTTTGTCGTACATTTTCCGAGCAAGTTACTCTCGGGTAGATATTTTCCCAGATGTTCTCCTTGCCAGCCTCCACGTACCACTGGCTCTGAAACTATCACTAATCCTATTGGAGCTCACCGCTTCCATATCGACATTCGAACGAGCAACATTCAGGACACTCGAGCAGCAGCAGCTTTATACCGCAAATTGGCTTTCCATCGGGGGTTAGTTAGAGATGTTCTCGGAATGTATGTGCCATATAGAGTTATAGAGTCGTCACTATCTGCACCTAATTTCTTGGTCCATCGCTCACCATCACACAGATGCCTCTCGCTTCCTCGCCCAGTCACAATCACGACTACTTCCTCAGTCTGACGAAACACGCAGGAAAGGTCATGGGCGTCTAATGCAGCAACCAGGAAGTTCCCGCTTTCCATCCTCGCGGTCCTTTCTGCAACGGGCAGCCCTTGACCCGTATCACCCAACGGCATCTCAGATTTCTAACCTTCCTCTTGGTTCTCGAAACTTGGCCCAGCCTGCGCCTCTTTTCTACAGTGCCACTGATGACTTTTGTGAAGACGATGATGAAGCAGAGCATGAGCGTGAGATTGCCGACTTCTATGCCCTCCAGAAATCAAGGCGAAATTTTGGCAGTAGTCATCTGAAAGCCTCTTCGGAGATCGATGAAGATGATGACCATTCAAATAGAGTCGAGGACCATGGAACATCTATATATGGAATACATGGCAAGGTGCAAGGAATTAGGAGCTCCTGGCGTGCTGGGAAATCCTATCGCGGGGAACGAGATGTGACTGCTGAGAAAGAAGTCGAGGCTGTTGATGTTGAAGATGGACCACCCAGAGACGGATACAATATCAGAGCTAGAGCTAACCTAGTTGACGTTCACCTCGAAGATAGCCTGCGATCCGCGTTGGATGGTAATAGAACCGATTCTTCAGAGACAGGTGATGACAACCCTCCTTCCATCCAACGATTTCGGGGGCAGTCTCAACCACGGAAGGGCAATTTTGGCATAGATTCATTTTTCATGCCGATGGAAACAGACAGGCAACCGTTAATAAATGATCCCCGGCCACTAAGTCCCGCGGACCCTGTTCAAGCCTCGTTTGCCCCGGTTAGAACCGAACCGCCCATGCACGATGTCTTCTGGGGTCAAATTTTTTTGATATCTATCGCCTGCCTTTTCGCTACTTCTTTCCTTGTCTATCTCCATACTTCCGCTCCCTCGGGAAATAAATCAACGTGGGGCGACACGATATACTTGACCATTCACTCCTCGTTCTATCTGCTTGGTTCCTATACTGTTACCTCGGTTTTTGCCTCACTGATTTGGCTGGCACTACTGCGGACCTACATACGCCAACTGGTATACGTGATCATTGTCGCTGTTCCCGTGATCTTATATTCCTTCTCTCTTTATCCATTTGTTTCAAGCTTCAAAGGAGCCTGGCATGGAACAAGCATACAGGATAAAGCAATGAGATGGGGATCCATTGCTCCATTCATTATAGCTAGCGTGTGGATATATAATGTAATCCGGGGTCGTCATGCTATAGGTAAAGCGATCAGAATCCTCGAGTTTGCATGTCGGATCCTCGCCACAAACCCGGAGCTACTGATCCTTGGTCTTGGCATTCTCGTCTTCGTCGCTTCATGGACATGGTTGTGGATGCTTATGTTCACGCGGGTATTCCTAGGAGGAAGCATAATGGGATCGGGTCGCTTCATCATCAGTTTCAGTAGTTGGTGGCTCGGGGTCTACTTCATTCTCGTCTATGTTTGGTCACTGGGAGTCATCGCCGGCATTCAACGTGCAGTTACAGCTGCTACAGTGAGCCAGTGGTACTTTCACAGGCTTGCAAGTCCTACCCCGACATCAAGACAGATTGTTTGGGCAGCAATTGTCCATTCGCTCACGGCTCTATTTGGCACGATTTGCTTGTCCAGATTAAGTGCACTCCTTGTTCGACTTCCTCTTCTCTTACTCCCGAGTCGTGTGACCTCTGTCTTGAGCTTGTTCGCTTACTCCGTTGTACCCACACCAGTCACAACACTCACAGATCCTCTTGCACTCACATATGCTGCAATACATTCACAGCCGCTGGTTGTGTCTGCTCGAAGTCTTGCCCGGATGACGACTCTTTCGTCTACGATAGTCAATTCCTCACTTCACCCTCGGTCCTATTCACAATCACACGAAAATATGACGCCTCTCCTTCCCTATCGACTTTCAAAACTGATCCTCCATGCTGCCCGACTCATGATGTCTCTGGCTCTTGGGTTTGGAGGTTGGGTGACTACTGCTCGTGACCTAGGTGTGGCGAGCGGTAGCGGTGTTATTAGAGGCAGCGTATATGCCTATGTGGTCGGGCTGATTGCGGGAACGATTGGCTGGAGTGTACTGGGAGCGATAGAACGTGTAATAGCTGATATTGTAGATGCCTCCGTCATCTGTTGGGGCAGCGAGATTGGCGCGTATGGTAGAGAAGCTAGGTATTGTCGGGAAGCTGACTGGCTCTTTGGCGGGGGTTCAGGTTTAGACTCCAGCTATACACGCCATCGAGAAGCGCCTTGATTGTCTGAGCGGCTGTACTCATTATATAGCATTATGCTAATGTTACGTGGGCACTGTCCGTATACCTTGGCATGTTCTTCCCCCTGGCCCCGGTTTGCCTGCTTCTTCTCAAATAGCTATGGAGTGTTTTACTCGGGAAAGCCATGATTTCGGTTTATCCAAGGTCTTAGTGTTTCGGGTTCGTCAATCGCAATACTTATCAAAGAAGAGCATTGATTTAGATATTTCAGCGTAAGAGTTTCGGGGTAGAGAGAGAGAATGAGATGCAGATCAGTGCTTCATGAATATAGACCTCGACGAGCTTTATAGTTCTTCGCTATGGACTTCATATTTACTAGCAACGCATTGGTATTGCAGCAGATACATAGAACAGCAAGGAACTAGTATATAGATGCTAGATTTGAATGCTGCCTAATGTAATTTGTCGAAATAATAATGGAAGTTAGGGATGGGTTGAAAATTCGGCTAACAAGAATTGTTCCTGTCGTATACTAATGTGGTTGGGAACCTGGAACCCGTTGAAAATTACCTAGTAGTTCTATGGAAGAATGATAATGATCAACCTATTTTATGGACCGCAAAAACATATCCATATAAACCAGACGAAACCATACATGACCTCTATGAAAAAGGGATATAACCCATGGTATCATGCTATAATAACAGGCAGAAGTAGACATTTGTACGCCACTTCCTCCTCCCCAAATCCAAATGACGCCAACGCAGATCGCTGGAAGAAAACAGATCATATAAGAGATAATAATGAAGATAAAAGTGGAAATCTCAAAAAACAGAAGTTGAGCGACCGGGTGGTGGGAATCTATAAACAAAGCCGGCCATTCCATTCCACGCCTTCCTTTTTACACCACTCTCTTAGTATTGAGTAACCAAATCGGACAGTTTCTACTGGTGTGGTCATTCTTCCTAAAGGCAGGAAAAACTCACCAGAATAGTCACCAGGTTTGAGACATTGCTTCCCTTGTTCGGAAAAGTTTCTCGACCTCCTGGACCAGGTGTCAGGGAATTCATGAACAAGAATGTCTTCTGAAAGTCCTTGTGAGCCTTCAAGCCATAGCCTCTGGGATTCTTTATAGCATTGCGGCAGTCGACTTTTTAGCTCTAAGATCTCCCTTCGATTCTTTTTGCTTTCATCGGATACAACAGTATTTCCATCACTACCTGGTGTTGGCACAGGGGTGTGTTCCCCCGGCAAAGGGGTGACCGCAAACCGCTCCAGATCAAGCGCATGAATAGCATCATAGGAAGTGGCGCCAAGAATCAAACAAAGACTATGAAGCTGCGGGAAGGGGGCGCTATTCTTTTTGACCACACGCCAATAAGCGAGTATAGATAGCCAAGATGACGAGTCGCTAATCTGTCGAGACAAAGTTTTGGATTGATCGTCAGCAACAAAGGCCAGAATAAAACAGAGGATAGCTTCAATGGCAGTAGCAGCCGCAAGCTTCTCGTCAACATCAGTCACACAATCTCTGGCGGTATGTCTTTCCGCGGCATGCTTTAATTCCCGCCCTAAATTCCCGTACTTCTGATATTCATCCTTCCAAGCTCGACGCTCACCATTGCGTGACGCGCTTGGCTGAAGGTTTACCTGTGACACTGATTGTTTTACACCAGTGACCGAATCGCCTGGTGGATATCTGCCGGTTGGCTGTGAGAACGTCCTACCGTCGTTTCCAACGTTTTCTGAACCATAAGTCGAGTTTTTAAGATCTTTAACAGGCGTAGCCGAGGCTTGTTTTGTTTTTTCCTGGTTGTGTGTTATAGTACTGAGGGTGGAAGACACTGGGGTTTGGGGTTTTTCAGAGCCCGCATTCTTAGGTGCTTGGCTGCTCGGAACGTGTCTTGTTTTCCCTTCAGACCGATAAATTCTAGGGTTGGGGTATTCCGATGCCGTAGCCTTTATAGTTTCGCTGGGCCTCTTGATCAGAACGGAATCAGGATCGGCTATATTCTTCGCAGGTGAGCCTGGAGGCGCCACTTTCCTTTTCCCTGAAAATTTGAGGAGAGCTTCAATACGCTTTCGATTTGCTCTGCCGTACTTGAGTTTCATCAACAATTGCGGTTTCGCTGATTTTCCATAGCTGTTAGGCTTGTCATCTGTTTGATACCGTAAGCTGGACGTAGGAGTTTCGCTAAAGGAAGAAGCCACAGAGCCTTGGGTAGTAGATGGACGCTTATCAGCCACAGAATTTGAGTATTTGCTTTGCAAGCTCTGACGGCCAACGACGAGGGTTGAATCTATGCATGACATGCTGAGGTCAGAGGACTTCGTTTTCTGGGTTTTGGCCCTCAAAGCATCGCCATTGGGAGCATTCTTCGTCCGCGTAGGATCTGAGACAAGCGTCTCCTCGCCAAATCTAGCTAGCTCTTTCTCTATGTTTGGTGGGAGGGTGGGAGATAAGAGCCTGGGCAGTTTAGGGCTGCTTGAAGTTGGCGGAAGGGTGGGTGACAAGAGAGTTGGAAGGCCATTAACTTTTGAGCGCCCAGACTTATTTAGCTCTGCTTCTGCTTCGACAGAGAGTTTTGGTTTCTTTAAACCCATTTCGGCACCTTTCCTTTCCTGCAGCCTGGCGTTCTCCGGCTCGGATTCAGCGGGCCGCTTGCGTTCCAGAGTTTCAGAACCAGCTCGAATGGAAATGCGTGAAGCCGCAATTTTATCCGAGGATTTCTGTATATTGTTTCCAACAGGGCTGACTTTGGGAGCTCTTTGGCTGTCTTCAAGTACAATGTCCATTGAGAGATGATGGCTAGAAGCTTCCTGGCCAATGGGAGAAGGTGAAGCGCCTGTCTTTCTTTTATTCTTATAGTCGTTCAAACTGATCTTTTTCTTGACCGGGCCGCTCCATGGAGTGCCTGCTGCACCCTGGAGTCCAGATTGCTGGTCGGACATGACGTTTCCAGTCTCGTCTGACCAATCACCAACAGCCACCAGTAACGAGTCTCCTTCGTGATGTGTTAAGAAGGTCATATACTGAAGTTGGTGCTCTTCTGGTGAGAATGGACCGTCATTACCCACAGCCCAATTATTGACGAAGCGGCTTCCAAGGCGGAAAGGCACATCGGTAGGCACGGTTAGGAGAAAAGGATAAAGAGGAAGAACGTCTTCCTTAAGATGTTTCAGTCGCCGATCGATCGGATGCTGTTCCGATGTATATGCCCGTTCACTGGGAAGCTTGGTGATTTTTATATCATCGTCCGTGGCGCGAGAGGGCCGGTTCACCGACATTGCACTCTGTTGACAGAACGAGGATGAATTCTTGACAACCGTATTTAAGATGATTTTGCGGTAGTCTGATGTTTAAATATGCTATCCCGTCACGTCCGTCTTCTTCAAGTCCAAGTCACTGGAGCTCATGCGGTTTCGGTATACGATAATCCGACGTGAAAGAAGTAGGCAAGAGCATCACAACGGTCGCCTTGTCAATCAGCTAAACCCGTGTTCTCTCTATAGGGTTAGTAATCAACAAACTTGTATACGTACAGACATGAGATCGAAACAGCTCCGCCTCGCTTGCTCTCGAGCTCTGTCACACCGCTTGGGCCTTCCAAGGCAACCTTGGCAACTGAACAAGCGTTCGCCGAAGTCAATCAACCACACAAAACAAGCAAGGGTGATCTTCGGAGCGTACAGTCCAAGGCAACCGTGCCAATATCACTTTTTATTTCTGTATGTATACAATGAGTGGAACCTTTCCGGCTGAAGACAGGTAGTTGCTGAGCTCTTGGTCTTCACGAGAAAGAGAACTGATAATTGACAGACCGATGCCAGAACGAGGCCATATGGACGAAGGCCTTTCCCTTCGCTGGACGAAGACTATACGTTGGCACCCGAATGAGATATAATGAATGAGGTGAAGAATAGAGGCAAAAGAGGGGATGAGAAGATGAAAATCAAAAAAGGGGGCGGGTGGCCGACGACAAGTGTGGATAGAAATATAGAGAGCAGCACTTCCTCATGAAGATGATTGTAATTGTTAAGGAAGGTCCATTCGGACTGGAGCCGAAGCGGAGACGCTTGGCAGGAAACACACTCACTATCAGCACCTTACTTCAGTATGTTCTCAAGACTCGAGAGCATGCCTGACCTGGGTACATGCAGGAACCCATACTTCCTATATGTTTAAAATTATAATGTGCTCACTGTGACTGCCAAAGCTATCTATTGGATTTATTACCCAGCTAATATCTTTGAGTCCACGTCGGTATTTGAATGTGGGGGAAAATGTGAAGAGGCACCCGAGGTTCTTTCTTCCGCTCTCTGTTTGTTTGCTGAATAAAGTACAAATTGCACGCAGCACAGCACCACATCTTTGAGTGACTAGTTGCTGGAGTACTGAATGCCGGTTCTTAGTTATGGCCAACTACTAACCAAAGATTTATCTTCCCAGAAAGCTTTGGCATCTGGAACAAGGGGTATCGTCTACCTCCCAGGCTTGGTTGGGAGATCAGAGCACACGGATAGCTGGTGAGACAGCTCTTCGCTCCTTGTTGTGTTGGAGACATTGCCACGATCTTCGGACCATTTCAGTGTACCCTTTTTAGCTAAGCTGGACAATGCCTAAACTGATCGAATGGACAACTTTTTCCTGAATGATGGAGGTCAGGGGCCCATAACTCGTTCGTATTCCTGCGTCTCGCAACGGGACAAGGTTGCCATATTGAAGGTACGGATAATAATTGAATTAGTTAGGTTGGAGGGTATAATTTTAGCCATTTCCTACATGCCATTAAGGTAAGGTTGCAAGAAGTAGACATTCCTATCCAATGGGCCTTCCTTCCCTGCGGCTTTCACCTTTCCATCATAGCCCCTGTAGGCCATTGTTAGCTTTGGCCAAGGAAGAAAAATGTAAGAGGCACCTGTCAAAAGCCTCGATAGAATGAATATCTATAGACTGGTAATGACCCACTTGGAGCTTTTCCAGGCTTGCGTTGACCACTCTTTGGGTATGTGCAATATGAACTATGACATTGGTCAGCACGAACAGATTCTCTCATTCTACACCGCCTCCTGTGATAGCAAGGCTAACTTTCGGGCTCTGTAGCATATATCCCAACTCCATTAAAATGACAGTATTCAAGTTTGACGGCAGACTTGATTGAACGAGTTCACAGTTGATATTGCGAGTTCCACCACCATAGAGTGCCTACTTCGGAGTATGCCATAAACCAGCTATGGGCAATTGGGGGATATCATCAAGGATTGAGTTACGAAGCCAGGAAACAGTTCACTAGACAGATTCCAAAAGAGAAACAAGACCTCCATGAGTCCACTAGCAGTTAGTAGGAAGTTTGATGGTGTGCTAGCCAATAAAACCTAACGGGTTGCAATTACAGTAGATGGTAGAAAAGGAAACCTCTTCCATCTTTGAGGGGCACCAACTTTGCAAAGAAAACCAAATCACTAATTTTTATAGCTAGTCGGTTTCATCGGTTTCGTAGTTATTTACCATTCTCCTGGACTCTGGCATATACAGGACTGCCAATAAGCGCTGTAGTACGCCGTATACTAGGAAACTTCGTAGTTTCGGAATGCAAATGATGTCACCGTCTCTTTTAGCTTACGATTGAATTCCGATACCCGTCTTCTCCGCGACCATACCGCACAGAAGAGCGAATAATATATTCCCTGTAGTCATTACGACCTGGCTGTCACATTAGGCGAGTTTCCCCCTCCTTCACGTTGTTTCGGCCCTTGCCCTGTGAGAGGTCCTCATGGTTCTTGCTACGCCACGTATCTTCCTAAGCCACCATCGAAATTATATGTCTCTTTGCAATAATCTGCATAAGGCACAAACTGTCCGGAATCGATTGGACCAGATGATTACACAACTCTCAGACCCTGCAAAGGGGCTTTCGTTGGAGGAGCTTCCAAAGTCCAATACTTTTACAGCGAAACTGCCACCAGACCCTGCTTTTGAGACTCCCGAGATCTCTCATGGAGCTCCGAGGGAAGCTCTCGGTCCGCGCTTGGTGAAAGGCGCCCTATATACTTTTGTTCGCCCCGAGCCAGCCAAGAAAGCAGAGCTTTTAGGTGTCAGCCCAAAAGCAATGGCAGACTTGGGATTACTGCCAGGAGAAGAGCTTACTCCTCAGTTTACAGCGGTAGTGTCTGGGAATCACTTTTTTTGGACTAAAGAGAATGGAGGCATTTACCCATGGGCGCAATGCTATGGAGGTAATGTAAACCTTTCAATAGGGTTACTCGCTGGCCACGGTTAGTTAACGATGCGAAGGGTGGCAATTGTACGTTGTCTTTGAACCTATACACGATGCGGAAGTTGACAGAATACAGCGGCTCATGGGCTGGGCAGCTTGGAGATGGGGTAAGCTTTGTTGTCTGGCCTTACTTCTGACCTGGATTGACCTCAAGCAGCGTGCTATCAGCCTATTCGAGAGCACAAACCCCAATACGTGTGTCCGATACGAATTGCAGCTCAAAGGAGCTGGGAAGACACCCTATTCACGCTTTGCAGACGGAAAATCAGTCCTTCGATCTAGCATCCGCGAGTATGTCGTGTCGGAAGGTAACAAACCGGCAGCTGCGTAATACTATCCGTCTCGCTAACTATGAACATAGCGCTTTCCGCGCTTGGTATACCAACTACCAGAGCCTTGTCAATCACTCTACTACCCGAGTCTAAGATTTTACGCGAGCGTATTGAACCTGGAGCTATAGTGGCCCGGTTTGCCGAATCCTGGCTGAGAATAGGAACTTTTGACCTTCTCCGCGCACGCGGGGACAGGGATCTAATCAGAAGACTAGCTACATATGTAGCCGAAGATGTATTTCACGGCTGGGAATCTCTACCGGCTGCGGTGCCTCTAGGTGAAGATGAGCCCACCGATGCGATTTATAATCCAGCAAGAGGCGTACCGTGGAACCTAGTTCAAAAAAACGAAGGAGTCGAAGAGAACCGGTTTGCAAGGCTGTACAGAGAGGTCGCACGACGAAATGCCAAGACTGTGGCTGCCTGGCAATCTTATGGCTTCATGAATGGCGTATTGAACACCGACAACACATCAATCTATGGGTTGTCTCTTGATTACGGCCCGTTCGCTTTTATGGACAACTTTGATCCTCAATACACACCAAACCACGATGACCATTTGTTAAGGTACTCGTACAAAAACCAGCCAACTATTATTTGGTGGAACTTGGTCAGACTTGGAGAATCCTTAGGAGAGCTCATTGGGGCAGGAGCCAAAGTTGATGAAGAGAGCTTTTGGAAAGAAGGCGTAACCGACGATGCTGCCCCCGCTATGGTCAAGCTCGCAGAAGAAATTATTGAAAGAACCGGTGAAGAGTTCAAGGCTATATTCTTGAATGAATACAAGCGGATGATGGGTGGAAGACTAGGGCTAAAGACTCAGAAAGAGTCAGATTTTCAGGACCTCTTTTCAGAAATGCTAGACACGTTGGAAGCTTTAGAACTGGACTTCAACCATTTCTTCCTGCGGCTTTCTCATATACCGCTCAGCGCCCTCGATACCGAAGAAAAACGGAAAGAAGTTGCACCAGTGTTTTTCCACAACGAAGGGTTTGGCGGGGTCGGGTACACAGAAAACTCTGCAAAGGAGCGCATCGCAAATTGGCTTGAGCGCTGGAGACTGAGGATTCTTGAGGATTGGGGGCCCTATGGTGATATGGAGCGACAGAAGGCTATGAAAACAGTGAACCCAAAGGTAGGTCTTCTAGTCCCTCGAAAATTTACCTCTCTAACGGTGCAAATTGACTAGTTCTTGCCTCGCGGGTGGATACTCGACGAGGTTATTGATCGAGTAGAACGTAAGGGAGATCGGGAGATCCTTGGCCACGTGATGCAAATGGCTCTAAACCCATTCAAAGAGGATTGGGGCTGGAACAAGGAAGAGGAGGAGCGCTTCTGTGGAGATGTTCCTCGATACAAGCGGGCCATGATGTGCAGCTGCAGCTCTTAAGCATTTTAAGTCAACGGCCATTCAATTATACTTTCTGCCCTTCTGCCCTTCTGCCAACTGTATATTTGTATATACTCCGATAGCGGTGTCCAAAGTGTAGGCAACAGTGTATTGCATGCCAAAACGCCTTCGGACTCACGTCGTCGACTACAGCCGACAAGGATTTCAGTCCCCGAATTGTGGAGCAACCCATACACACTTTAGAGAAACCTACACTTACGCAAAAGCCTAGAGAAGATCCAGGAAGTCAAGAATACTCTCAGTAGTTGAGACATCGAGTAAATGGATTTATTTTTCTTGCAGTCATCCGCATTACACACAAAGAACCCTATCATGTTTGTCGTCCTGCAACCTAGACCACCTGCCATATTATTACCGACGTAATTGCTGCCCACGTTTGAGAAATAGAAGGCAAATATCACGGATACAATGTCTTGGCACGCGAGTATTCATGAATATCATGTTCATGGTAGGGACGGGCAAACCCCACCAAGATCAGGGTTATGAGCCAGGTTTGATCTGGCTACACGAGAAAGCAGAAATATGAGAGTTCGAGTGGTTTGAAGAGTACTGGTTCAGTCCATGAGAACGCCTCCAAAGCCTCGTCTCGTGTATATACAGGCGCGACAAATTAGACGAACGACCCAAAGTACTTTCTGGCCTAGTTAGGACAGGCAGCTTGAACGTGGCCTGGCTGCTTGCAATTATAGCAAACCCGTTCACCCTTGGCTTCAGTGGGACAATCACGCGAGACATGTCCAACTTCTCCACCTACATTTGACTGGTCAGTACACATGCGCACGATGGACAGCGAAGAAAGGAAGAAGTGTAAGAATTCCAAAATGCAGACTAGAATGCACAAGTCCTCCCACTGGTGTAGATGTGGTATATTGCACATTGCAGGGAAGGCTTACAGTTGTAACATTTCTGACCGTGGGTGCAGTCACGAGCCATGTGACCGAAGCCACCGCAAGAGTAGCAAGTCTGTTGACGGCCACCATATCCACCCCCACCCTGAGAGCAGTTCCTCGCAATGTGGCCTACACGGCCGCACTTATAACATTCCTGACCACCAGTAGGACCACTGTAGCTATCTCCCGAGGCTGCCTGAGGACATTCACGAGAGATATGGCCAACACCACTGCAACGGTAGCAGGACTTCTCCTTAGGCGCTACTGTGCATTCACGGCCTAGCAGAGGGGTTGTCGTCAGATAAGCTGCGCTTATTGTTGTGCAGTAGATTCCCATGGTATCCACTTACTAACATGTCCCTGTCCTGCAATCGATTTTCAATCCGTTAGACAAGACCCAAGGAATATTACGACGAGGAAGGGTGTTGGGGTTGTGAAACTCGCTAACGAGGTGCAAGTAAAGTAAAAGCAAGCAGAGTATGACATACCACCACAGTTGTAACTTTGATTATTCCATTAGTAAATGTAAACTATAGTTCGAGTAATGAGGAGTATACTATACCAAGTTGGGGTACCCTTCTTAGGACAGTCACGGGCCTAAAAGTCCGGGTCCGTGAGATTATGGTTTGATGAAAAGTGTATTAAAAAAATACATAATCAATGCCCTCTGCACTGGTGATCTGGGGAGAAATTACCTGATGGGAAGCATCGCCACCTATGGTATAGAAGATGTTAGTTCAATTTCTTAGTGGCTTAAAAAAAAAGGTAGGCACCGGTTTTCTGTTAGTTCCGCACTTAGACGACCATCTTGAGGCCTTTTCCTCTTGGGCGAGGAAATATCAAACAGGCGCTAGCCCGAGTAAAATGAAAACCAAGCAAGACATGCAGTGTGAAGGGAGGGAAACCTTCTGGCTCGAATCGCAAGGCGAGGGCACAAAAGCTAGACATCAAAATTGTAGCGACCGCCAGGAAATCGAGGCCGCTACGGTAGTAAAAACTCACAGTTAAAACATCCACGACCTCCGGTTTGGAAACTCATATTGATTGAATATAGCAGATATTCTGGATAGATTGAATGGTAGCGAAGCTGTTGTGGAATGATCAAGATTTTTTTTCCTTAGAAAAAAGAAACCACAATGATAATGGTGGAGATCGATTGATTGATGAGAAATTTAATGCAGATAATATGTCCAAGGCGGTGCGCGGGGACGAGAAAGTGAATTTAATTTACTTGATAAATAAATTAAATTCGCTTGCCGTGCGGTTCCTGCAGAGCTCCCTTCTTTTTAGTTAGACTGCAATTGTGTGGTACTTAACTCCTGCAATTAACCTTCCTTACCCTTCTGATTTTTCGTTATTATCCTTCCCCACCTTCGCCCTCGTTTGTTTTATTCCCGAAAATGAAGATAAGAAGCAGAAAGAAATCAACTGAATTTTAAACGAGACTAAGTCAGCGTGTTGTACTTCACTGAAAGCAACTGGCGCTTTTCATCTGAGGATCTCAAAAATCCCGCCAGACTTGAGACAAGGCCAAGGAATAATTTAAACGACCTTATGGGCTGCAATTCACTTAACATTCATTATTCGCCGTAAATTGTTCAATCGTCTGAGAAGCAAAGAATGGCTGAGCGAAGGCCGTTCTAGAGTGAGGAGGTTTCGGAGGGATGCAATGCAATGGGGAAAGACCAGCCCAGGTCACCGGAGTGGTTTAATATCCATCACATGTAGCCGGAGCGAGGAAGGTTTCCTGATGTTCTTGGGGGCAGCTATAGGCAGAGGCCCCAGTTCAATCTGAGTAACTCTTGCAGTTAAATATTAACTACAGCTTCCCAAGGTCCTCAGGTTGAACACATTGGGATTGGTTTACAGCCCAACATTCTGCTTTAGATACTCTAGAGTATTCTAAAAGTTTGGTTTAAACCAGAGGAAATCTCTTTTTGATTTTTTCTGTTTGAGCTGGTGCCAACCGTCCTGTTCCTTTTCTCTACCCAGCAGATACGAGATTCATGTGAAGTCATATAATTCTAGTAGCTGGTTTCCGATATTCCGTTCCCGAAGCAGAAGCACACGCTCATCATCGAACCCAACGCAACCTCGTATCCGGTCCAATTCGTAAGATCTTTCCAGAGAAGAAGATTGATCATCATTGACTTCGCAGCGAGAGACTCCTGACAATACGCCGAAGTTGTCATACTTCTGACATTGCTTGTTCTCAGGGCTAACTTGTATGCTCTTTTCCTCTAACATTCTCTGCGTCCCAAAATAAGAGATCAAAGGCTCGAGTTCCCATATTCGAATTTCATCACCACGTGAGCTAACAGATACTGCTTTACCATGATCACCTACTTGCGCGGCTGCAACTGATGTGGTGTGGCCCCAGAGTCTCTGGCCGCCTTTGACATAAAGACTTGTTGTTGTAGAAACAACGAGGTACACAGTCAACGTGTTGTCTGCGTGAGAAGTCAAGAGGTATGGGTGCGAATAGGAGATCGAAGTTGGAGGTTCTCGATGTAAGATCGATGGTTCAGTAGGCCACCCGTACAGGTCACTGCTCAGTAAAGACTGTGGCTCTTCTGGTACCCGGCTAGATGGACGTAACGCTGTCACACCATATTGACAATCCACCGTGGTTGTGAGCCGTGAGTTGATCTGCTGGCCACTTTTGTTGAAATGTAGTTCTTGTAAACCTATTGACCAACCACAGCCAATGTGGTAAAAGCTGTATACTATAGAAGATATGATTTCCGAGCCTGCGACACGCACAGACAATGACATGGGCGCCAATATGCTCTCGGCTTTGAGTGTTGCAAGGAGGTAGGGCTTCTCTATCAATTCGACGGGACTGTGGCCCACGTTCTCATTGACAGCTTGAATACTAAATAACGATAGCACATTGCATTGGGACACTGTTAAAATATAAGGGAATGACAGAGCCATCCCTGTTATTGCCCGATCAGTGGAACTAGTGTAAGTGAATCCCAACTCCAATCGTAAGGTTCTAATGTCCATGTTATACACACTAAAACAACCGCTTTTAAATCCGACAGCAACTCTGGTCACATATTGCTGTGGACAATAAGTTGCTTTTAATGACGTGGGTACTATAGGTGCTTGTGTTTTGACGTTTGTAAAAGGCATACTTGCTAAGCAAGAGTTTGTATTGTCCGCGTGCCAAACCCTAAGCCCATGATCGGAATCTGCTATAAACACAAGCCCGGCACAAAATTGTACCAGAATTGGTGGTTGTAGAGATTGAGGTAACTCAACTGCGGTTACACGGCATATCCCCTTGGACCAGTTGTGTCTAAGGCGATATTGTTTTTTCCAATTTGCGCTGCTGCCTTGTCCCGCTAGATGACCGTGGTCGAGCCATGTAGATACTTTGGGCGAGTATTCAGGCCTTGAGATGGCACGTCTCATTCTCGCTAAGCGACGTGCTCGAGGTCGTACCCATCGAGTATAATATTGTCGCTTCCATAGCTCCGAGTCTCCGGCTAAAGCGTGGAATCGACGGGACACTCTAAGGAGAAAGGAGTGGGTCAGCTTTCTGTCAGCTTGGGTCCCTAGAGCAAGCATACCTTTGACATATTAGCAAAGCGGGCATGGGTAGATAAGATAGGATATGCAATAAAATTTCATCGCTTAAGAATGAGAGGTAGTCGCTATTATAGGCTTGGGATATACGCCGCCGTTTTGGCGACGGATAGGTCATGGTATCACTTTCATCACGTATTTTCAACATGCTGCTGGTAGCTTTCTTTTTATATAAGAATAACCCAAAGGATATGTAAGGACTTAGGAAATGAAAGACCCCTGGGAAGTTTCGATAAGAACGCTTATCTAAATTGATAACTGGGACCAAATCCCGCCTAGGGTCACGGGTATGATGTAAGGAAGGCCTTGGACGTCGCGTTCCCGACACTCGAGCTATACCCATAACCTTACATGGTCCACTCTCATTTTCTATGGATGTTCTAAAGCAACTTCATGCCTCTGTGGCCCAGAACTTCGAGAAATCCTTCGATAATGCATATAACGATTTGGGTGCTGTGCTTACCATTTATGACAGAAAAGTTGCTGCGACAGAAGAGAAACTCAGGGTTACAGAGTCTGCCCAACTTAAAGCCGCGGCCGAGATCGAGAGGTTGAATGTTGAGATTACCCATTTGCGAGAAGTGATAAATCGTAATGACATTAGCTTAGATGATGCTGAAGTCTCTGTGAGCGAATCTCAATTGGAGGCAGCATACGCGCCGCAGCGTATTTTGAGTTTATGTGACGACAACAATCTCTTGTCGTGGGAACATGGTACGAAAGAGATGAGAATTGTCAATGGAAAATATACCGCCTTATATGGAGATGCACAAACGCTTGTAAAGGCCTGTAAGGGTCTCAGACAACAGATCAAGCGGCATAAGAGAAAGCTGGAACACTGGGGCAAATGCCTCGAGCGAGATGAGTTTACATTGATGCTAAATGGCGTCGATGTCAAATTTCGACGTGTGAAGAACATTGCAGACGACGACCAGGATGGCTCTCCAACAGCAGAATCGATACCTGCAAATGGCATGCTAGTGCCGGTTAGTCATATTGCAGCAGATGGGGCTAATGGGCTACGGAGTTTACTTAGGCCTGAGTTGGGTGAAGTTTGTACGTCCGTCGTTTGCGGCGAACATAGAAGAGCAGAGAACAACTTTGGACTGCCCTTGCAGAGTGAATCTCAAGAAGTACTTTTGACACAGTCTGGTCCTCCTTTGGAGAACGAAGATATCGATACATCGGTGAGGCGGAGACACCGGGGATTGAAGAGGAAACGCGGGGTTCTATCCGAATCTGGGGTATTGGCCCATCATAGTGGCTTGGGGGAAAGGGAATTGAAACCACCCATTGCTATAAAAAGCAAAAGCATGTCCTTTAGTCCCGTGCGAAACGTTTGCCAGCATATTGAAACAATTGAAACCCAAGATTTGGATGAAGTTGGCAACACTGTCGAGACACCGACAAAAGAAATGGTCATCGAAACTGACCCTTTGGCCATTATTCATTCGCCATCCGTCCAAAAATCAACGCCTCAGGACAATTACCGACTCGCATCAGGCCACAGGCTTCTTAATGGATCCACAGCACTCCAATCAGTGGATGAAAATGCCAGCCTTCATCATGGTTCTGGTCAATGTTCAGAAAAGAAGCCAGATGTAGTCCCAAGGGCAGCCAGCCATGCTATATCGTGCATAGCAGAGGATGGTGAGCAGGTGTGTCCCATATCACATGCAGGAAGGACACCGCGGAACGCTGATTTCAGCTACCTATCAGCAACTTCAAGTTCCAAAGGTGTATCACACCGTTTGCAGGACTTGTTAGAGAAACCGCTGCCGCCTAGGTCACTGTTGCAGTCACCGAAGGGCAACGGTAACGTGAAGGATACAAGAAGGCACAACCAGCACGAATTTCGAGCTGATCACGAAGCATCTGGAAATAACACTCGTTTACCTACTGATACAACGGCAGTATTGGATTCTTCACAAGCTAACAAGCAGCCGACTAATGTCCACCTCTCCGAGCGAGCTAAATCTAATTCCATCGAAATGCATCCAGAGGATGAATCTTACCGATCTCTGCCACTGCACCGGCTCGAGCTTAGTCATTTCAGGATAAACCCTGACTATAACGAAGGACTCGGGTTTGCATTTGACACTGTTATCCGCAAGAAAAAAGAACGCAAGTGCATCAGGGGATGCACGCGCCCTGATTGCTGTGGAGACAAATTCTTAGCCATGGCACGCCTTGCTGGTCTACGAACCGACCCTACAGTCTCTTGTCAAGAAGATGACCAGAAAATCCTAGAAGACTACTTGGGAGAAGATAAATATTTGCTTGATGAACTTGGTGAAATGGACCGTCAGAGGCTCCTTGATGAGGCAAAAGCAAGGCTGATCGCCGATTGTTTTGGGAAACACAGAAATCATCATCAACGTGCGGCTACACCGCCAGGGTTTTGGCGCACGGATATGCCTGATACACAAGAACTAGATGTTGATCGTGAGGAGGCAAGAAGGCTTGAGAGAGACAAGGTAAAAGAACGATATAGAGAAGCAATGCGCCCAGGTGGCCTTTGGAAATACGCGGATGAGTGAGTCTATGGGAGCAAGGTCCTGAACGAGGCGTTTTAGTCGTGATTAGTATGGAGCCAATAGATTTTTGAGCTCTACTATGGTTCTTGAGATTAGAACTATGACTCTAATTTTAAGAGAATATCAATGGCCTGAGGCTTTAAATAATCAACTTTGTCCTAACCACGTCTCTAGGCCTACTGAGTAATACTAGTAAATATACCTTGTCGGTGTTCGAATATAGAAGTTTTCCAGTGGAAAACATGCTGGCCAGGATGTAACAAGGAATCATGGTAGAATATGTTGAGTGCATACTAAAGAGAACAAGATATCCCTTCTCGCCTCTTCCTAATTTCAGCAAATGGAGTCTCCGTAGATTGTCCGAAGGGGACCTCGGCACATGGCCCTTGGCGCGGAGAGCACGTGTTGACCATATCTCTATCCTTGTTGCTTTGCTCAACTTCATCCCCATACATTGTTGTTACTTTTCCCTTCTTCCTAAGCCTAATAGGGATTCGATTACTACAAAAAAATTACATTCTTTTTTGATTATGGATCCAACGCGAAGCCATAGAGGATTGGTCCCCTCGACACTTTTGAGACCATCTAAATGGCTACCATTGTACGAGGACTTCGTGACTAAGAACGCTAGCTCTGTAGGTCAAGTAGAGTCGGCGTTGAGGTCTCTCACATACATAATCCCAGGTTCGTTTTAGTAATCTAACCATGCATATACAGACGACGAAAGCTAATGCCTACGTACGACGCAGGACGATACAGAGATTCAGAGATCTCGTCAGAATGCGGTATATACACTGCCAGCTTCGAAAACCTGCTAGATGTCTAACATAGTTCATCCAGTACATTCTTCCGTACAACTCCTTTCGCTGTATCATGATTCCCTTGTTTCTCGAGTCATCTCTAGACTTCCATCGACCATCTCTCGACCGGCGCCCACACCGCATTCCCGGTATACAAAGTACTGGACGGCCCACTCCTCACTTTACCGTAAGGTCGCTATCACTCTTCAAATGGTTCAGTACACAGAACTACTCTGGGAAATGATCGCGCGGCGTCGAGGTGAAAAAGTTCGCTGGCGAGTCGTTATTCTCATCGAAGCTATCAAGGCAATATGTCGTTTGTTTCTGCTACATCTCACAAACTCGAGACCGCTAGTCAGCCCTCCCTTACCAGAGCGCGACGTCGACCCGAGATCTGCAGAAGAAGAGGAACGCGATTGGAACGGGATGCAAACACCAGTAAGCGAGCGGTCTTCAGACCTGAGCTGGACTATGCCTCGTACGGGATTATCGCTTCCTTGCCTTCCGGATGTGAACGACGTCTCAAATTTTTTAATATCGAAGGTGCTCACTGCTGATGACATCAAGCCGCCCAAGGCCCTTTTGCACCGAGTCACAGGTCAAGGTCAGCTGGCAGAAATATTGTACATTTTGCGGCCTGTAGCCTATGCACTAGCGATGCAAAAATGGAATGGCAACAAACGAAGTTGGAGGCCTTGGCTCATTGGGTTTGGTATGGAATACGGCTGTCGACAACTTGCCAAAACCGATTTTAGGGAAAGACTTGCTGGTGGCCTCCGGGGACTAACAGGCTTGGAGCGCGAGGAATTGAGAAAGAGAGGATGGGCTATGGGGTGGTGGCTCATGAGGGGCGCTCTTTATGAAAACTTGACCAAGTATGAACGCTTATTACTATCACCGATCAAAGTCATTATTATGCTAACACTATCCAGACCATGGTTGAAAGGGTTAACCAGGAAGATGAAAGGTAAACCACTGCTTGACTTGGTAGGCAGTGTGGTCGAAGATTACGAATACCTGTGGGACAATTACTACTTTTCAACAGCAACTTTATGAGCTGAAAAATCTCCCCCCCCCCCCCCGGGTCTGCTGAAATAAATCTACGACGATACCCCCGTCGACTCGAACTAGGATGTTGAAATGAGTGAAACTGATTTGATACCCAATGGATCCTGGCATTCTTGTCTCTTTTCGTTCATTGATTGGCATATTCTCTCTAACTATTTTTCTTCCTTCATTTATTCTATTTAATTCTAATTGATTTGATTTGATTTGATTTGATTTTGTCGTTATCTAATATTGTTTGATACTTTCGCCACCATGTTGTATAGTTAGCGTTCTATATTTATACTTATTGGGGTATCACAAGTCGCTATCGCGATTCCATATCAGAGGGGTGTCATTTCTGTTTAAATAACCTCTGCTGTCTTCTGCCCAAACCAATCTCGCAACTCTTGATTGGTTCCCTTAGGAGCTTCAGAAGACGTGAAGAGGAAATCTCGAAGTTGTGTGTTTTCATCATCTAGGGGCCAGTCCACCTTTACCCCCCCCCTCATCTCAAGCATTTCTTTCGAAGTGCCCCAGCTAAATCGACATTCATTACCCCACCCGAATATGGGATCCATGTGTCTTCGGAGCCAGGTTACGCACTTCGAATCCGAGGGATAACCACTCCCCCAACTGTGGGTAGAAGTTGCTTGTGAAGGGTCATCGAACTGTTGGGCCTCCACTATATCTTTATGGCAAAGTTCCAAGGCCACATCTCGGGTCACTTTAGCAGCAACACTCGCAGCACTAACACAAGGGTACAAAGAGTCGGCTTTTTTGGCCACTGTAATTTTTAGTGACGGAAAGATCCGCTCTAACTTCTGCTGATAGGTGGCCGGGTTTCCAATTGTGTCAATATACACCTCTCTAATGTCAATTCTGCGGCCCTCCACGATCTCTCGGATGAGTTCCACAGTAGCGTCCATGGCTTGCGCATTCAAGTTATAGATACCCGCGCCGGGGCGCAACATACCCGACGAAATATCTCTTGCAGATAAAAGCTTAGTTGCCCATCCACATGACTTGAACAGGGGTGTCCCGGGGGTGCAGAGCAGCCGCATTAGATTAGCGCGTACACCAGGTGTTAGAACCTTGCTGTCATTGAAGCTGTAATCGTGCGCAAGGAGGGAGTGGTGAAGGTCATGCGGCAAGTAGAAAGCACTGTATACCATAGGACCCAAAACTGGCCCACGGCCTGCCTCGTCAACACCCAAAACAAAATAGCTCTTCGGGTAGCTTTCAGTTGGGGTGAGATCATCTATGGTCATTTCGTCAGCTTTGGAAGCATCTGAACTCGGTTGGCGAGCTGAAATTGTGGCGGGGCATGGCGAATAGTAGGAATAAGAATCTCCCGCATACAACCGTGGGCGATTTATACTGGGAGGGACGAAAAGGCCCGTAGAAGTGAGCGTCCCTTGAGAGTTGAACGAGGGATGCTGAGTTGGTTCTTCCATACCAGCTTTCTTCAAATACTGTTGGCTTGGGATAAAGAACTATAAACAAAGATGGAAATGATTCTATGGAGGTGAAGGACACAACTTGTTGTAATCTATGAAGATTGTGTGCTCTAGACGCGTCCCCAACCATTCCGGACTAGCGGCGCTTCCGCGCGTGTCGCCGCCTATCTCCAACTCCCCTCCACAGCGCTTCACTAGCTTTCCGCCTTCTCCCAATTGAAATTTGTGCTTATTGCTTACGGGGTTTGCTTTTTTCTTTTTTCTTTTCTTTTCTTTTCTTTTTTTTTTTTTTT